AATAAGTTATCACACTTTTAATCATCAAACCTACATAACATGCTTTTCAATTATGTTTTATGTATAATCATGGCATAAGCAAACACTTGGTTATCTTTAATCATTCCATAAAACATATCCTTGATTACTTTAGTTAATCTCATTCCTCACGCAAAAGTTATAAAGCATAAAGTCGTCTTCTCACCTTAATGATGTTTATGAAGTTCTAGCCTTCCTGATTTAGCTCCGGTGAAACTCCGGCGAACTTCGGCGAACTCCGGCGACAATTCCGGCGACCCTTTCAACTCCGTGAAAGTTCCTTGAATACCTTAGGCAAGTTACTAACTAGGTTTTATCATCACAAAACCCATATTAATACAAATAACCTTTAAAAGGTTATTTTCCGGCGAACCGGTCAACTTTGATCTCCAAGTCCCTTTTGGTTGGAAACCAACACTCCAACCCCTCATTCTACACCTCTAAAGGTGAAGAACAAGGATAAGGGTATATAACATGATTCGCTCAATCATGTGGAAGGATTTGAAAAAAGAAATGGGATTAAAGAAATCAATACCTTGATTGCCCATACTTTCCCCTCTTAACCTTCTCATTTTCCTCAACTTTGTTCTCTTCTCCCTCCTTTGTTTTTGTGCGAAAATGGGGGTGGAAATGGGATGTTTTCAGAGTTCATCTCCCCAGAAATGTAGGCCTGGTCGAATGGGTGTGAGCTGGGGTGATTGAGAATGCCCTTTGGCATTTCTCTCAATGATAGCATGGGAGGGACCCATGCAATTTATTGCTCCTGGCCTCAATTCAGATTTTTGCTGCTTCCCTCACCTTTTTGTGCGGCTCCCATAGCCAAAATTCAGGCTTCAGTCGTGGGATGGCCCCCACTCATGTGGGAGGTCATCCCTTTATGTCCTGGTGTGTACAATCGACCCCAAACGTTGTATTTTCCGGACTGTTTTAATTATGTTTTAATTTATCGGGTCGGATAAAATACGACACATGTCATCCATCATTATTGAACCTTATAATGAATATATATTCCTCGACTTTAATTTAGAAGTCTCCGAAATTCCTTTTCGGGCTGTTATCTGATAAATTACCGATTCTGATAATCGGGCCTCGTTTGACCAACCGGTCAACCCTATACCTTTGCCACGGCCCAAATTGGATATCAACCACCACATACATATTATCTAGGCCAAGATGAATATAATATGTGGTCCCGATAATATCGGACGGCCCCCACTCCCGGTGTGGGCCCCACGTGAATTTTACTATTCACGTAAAAGAAATGATAAAAATTTACAATCACGTAAAATGCGTTTACTCATTTCTCAGGGTTCAATACATAATTTAATAAAGTACAATTACTTGGGGGTGGTGTTACAAAAATTGTATGACAAGGGCTCGACCCAACTACGTTTCCATACCGACCATAAATTCGTGGCAAGGGCTCGGCCCAACTTCGTTTCCACGAAGATCACAAATACATGGCAAGGGCTCGGCCCAACTACGTTTCCATGCTAATCACATTACATGGCAAGAGCTCGGCCCAACTACATTTCCATGCAATCCTAGAGTCCGACTCTAATTTATTTTCATAGTCTCCAATTCTTAAGCAAATCCTATGCCTAGAATCAATTCACTTTGGTAGCCTTTAGGCCTACCCCTAACACACCTTTGTGTTCGTACAATTCGACCTTAAAGTATCTCTTAAGACTACTTAAGGTATCTCTGTTCACAATCCTATCTCTTAGGATTAATTCCATCATTTATTTATATTAATCTCCCGACTAGTATTTCAATACTAGTAGGATAATCTTAGAACAACCAAGTCCTTAATTCATAGCCAAATAATTCATCTCAATTGATTTCCCAATCCAAATATGATTTAATTTCAATATCAACAATATCACTTTTATCCATTCATGAATTTCTTACATGAAGTAAAAGTATATTTTATCACAACATTTCATAGTTAATCCCATTATCATGCCATCACTTTCATATCACATAATCATACACAATTTTCTCTAAATTTGTATATCATGTTTCACTTACTCAAATCCATAGTATTTTCATTTAGGCATTATTACTCATTAATAATCCTTGAAAATCACTTTTAATTACCTTAGGTAATCTTATAAAATCAACTCACTAATTATAAGCAATATAGTCAGCCATCCTCACCTCGAATGAGCTTTAAGAAGTTCTACCCTTCTCGGTTGAACTCCAGCGATACTCCGGCGACACTTAGGAACACCTTAGTCAAGCTCCTAACAAGGTTTTATCATCACAGAATCCATATCAATACAAATAACCTCTAAAGGGTTATTTTCTGACGAACCGGTCATTTGGCTTCTAAGTCCGTTCTTGGACTTAGAACTACCTTCCAACCCCTTGTTCTACACTTATAAACATGTAGAACAATCCTAGGGGTCCTCAATATGATATATAAGTCATAAGGTAGATAAGAAGTAGAGAAAAAGTTATTATAAGGTCATTACCTTAATTCTTTACACTTTTCCTATCTTTTTTCTTCTCCAAACTTTTTTCTTTTTCTTGTTTGAGCTTGGGCTCGAGTTGGTTGTGGAAGGTGAGGTTTCAGAGCTCCTTTGCCTTCTTTCCTTGGTGGTGGACGAGTACAATGAGTGAGAGAGGATGGGGAGGATGGTATTTTTGTCTTTGGTTGGCAAATGGGTGAGGTTAGGGGTCCCTTAGGTGTCAAAATGGTCTCCCCCATCTCTTCAATGGCTTTCAGCCACATTTGTTCTCAAGCAAGCCTCCAAGAGCTGGGAATTTCATGGGTTGGCCCCCACTTATGTGGGAGGTCACCACTTTTTGTCCAGAAGTGTACAATAGGTCCCGAAAGTTGTATTTTTCGGACTGTTTTATTTATATTTTATTTTATCAGGCCAAATAAAATATAACACGCGTTCCTAATCATTATAGGATTTTAGAATAGATTTACATTCCCTAACTTTAATTTAGGAGTCTCCGAAATTTATTTCGCGTTGTTATCCGATAATTTAACAATACCGTTTGACCAACGGGTCGACTCTATGCTCTTTCTATCGGCCTACTAAAATATCCACCACCATATACATATTATCTAGACCAAGATGAATATAATGTGTGGTCCCGGGATTATCGGGTCGCCCCTGCTCCCGATGTGGGCCCCACGTGCAATTCACTATTCACGCAAAAGAAATAACAAAATTTACAACTTCGCAAATTCATAATTCATTCTTCAAGGTTTATTACATAACTTACTAAAAAGTAAATATGCTTGGGGACGGTGTTACACATGTACTAGCCATTTTTAAAATTTGAAATAATTAATTGGCTTAAAAAATTTAGCTTAAGATCATATAGAATGTACGTGCAAGTTGCCATACTGCTACAACAATGCAAATGCAAATAATAATAACAACAACAACAATACTACTACTACTACTAATAATGATAATAATAATAATAATAATAACAATAACAATTATAATATCTTTATATAATACTCCCTAGTCCTCCTAATATTGGTACGGATGGGAGTAGTGTGGTTTTTAAGAAAAGTAGAATTATGTGGTTGGTAATGAGTTGATAAAGTGAAAATAAAGTAAGAATGAATTAGAGTCACACAAATGTTACCAAATATGGTATGAGACAATAATAAAGGGACATCCAAAAATGAAAAAATGTGACAATTATAGGGGAACGGAGGGAGTATAAAGTAACAATGTCTGGGCAGCAATTGGAGGGAAAGATCATGCCCAAATTGAGTCATTGAATTGCCTACGTTTGGTTAATAGCGGATTGGCTTCAATCCGCCGTTTTTCCAAGTGAAATAGTTGGATTTTGCAACGGTTTGCTCCGAATCCGCCAAAAAACAAACACGGCCATTATAGGGAATTAATGTCAATTTTTTTCATATAAAAGGAAAATACACGTATGGTTGTTAAAGTTGTTGTATCAATAATTATTAAATTGGAAAAAAGTCCATTAATCATACGTACCATAAGTATGTTATATCGAAAGATGATTTTATATCAATATGATATGTGTCTTACATGATGGAAATTTTTCTCTACTAACTATTATTAATTCTTACCAAATTAATGACCGTCAAATAGTTGCTATTTGGTAGTACTAGTTACTCCACCCGTGCGTTGCACAGGAGTGAATATGCATATATTAAAAATGTTAGTAGATAAACATATTTGAAACTCATATTATTATTTATCGCATGAATGAGAAAAATCATAGTTAAGCAATAAAAATATCAGAGTTTTAATCAAACACGTTTCAAATTATTGGTGAAATTCATCAATGATGATCTCTTTGTATACGAAGTAGTGGTGGACTCAATTCGGGCCACCCGGCCTGTGACCCGGCCGGGCCCGCTACTGTGCGGGCCTGGAACCGACCCGGTCTGACGGTCCGGGACTGGGTGTAGACCCGAACCAAGGGGCAGCGAGGGGCAGACTCGGTTCCGGCAAAACGTGACCCGACCCTCGTACTATAGGGAAAACTATCAATTAAGCCCCCGTACTATACCGAAAAATTCGATTAGGCCCTCGTACTTTACAAACACTCAATTAAGTCCTCGAATCATTAAAAAACGTTCAATTAAGCCCTTTTGGTGGGTAAGTAACCGATTTTCCGGTTAAACAACTTTTTTGGTATAGTACGAGGGCTTATTTGATAGTTTTCCCTTATTATTATTATTATTATTATTATTACTATTATTATTATCATTATTATTATCATTATTATTATTATCATTATTATTATTATCATTATTATTATTATTATTATTATTATTATTACTACTATTATTATTACTACTACTACTACTACTATTATTATTATTATTATTGTTCATATAATTATTATTGTTCATATAATTATTATTGTTCATATTATTATTGTTATTATTATTATTATTATTATAATTATTATTACTATATTTTTGCCTATAGATAAATGTGAGGGCCGGGGCACATGAGCAGAGTAAAACTAATCATGGGAATAAGAAGAAGCTTCACTCTCACATCCATGTTTTGTCACTAAAAAGCAGGTAGTATTACAAAGGAAAGTCGAATAATCTATATCTCATCTATAAATGAATTTACTCATCTAGAGTCATTATCATTTAATAGAAAGCTACTAATAAACTCATGTAGTAAAACTGCTCGAAACCGTCTTTGTAATTCAGACATTTCATACTCATTCATAACAATTTGAGGAAGAGTCGATTCCAGAACGGTTAATGAAAATTCAAAGTCTCCATTCCAAACAGGTCTCAAATTGTCATCCACTTTTCCGTTTTCTTCATTTCACTATCTGCAGGGACTCCAAGAGTTTGTACCAACAGGCGACCAACCAAAAACCATCATCATAAATTTATAATATTATTCTAGAGATGAGAGGAAGGGGCATGAGATAAAGCATTGTACGTCATAGCCTATCATAGAAATTTGGTTTGCTACGTAAATCAAAATCTTTCTTCTGGAAATCATTGTACCATTCATCCCTCGTATAAATATAATAATACATATAAATATAAATATAAATATAAATATAAATATAAATATAAATATAAATATAAATATAAATATAAATATAAATATAAATATAAATATAAATATAAATATAAATATAAATATAAATATAAATATAAATATAAATATAAATATAAATATAAATATAAATATAAATATAAATATAAATATAAATATAAATATAAATATAAATATAAATATAAATACACACACAATTTAGGAAATTCATATGACTTCTAAGCTTACAAAAATAAGACCATAAATAAATTATTTGAATAAATTCCAGTACGTGAAAATAATTAGGAGCTGCTACCTTCATCCTAAAATGTAAGATGCACATGAGTTTGGTGCGAGTTTTAAGAAAATAAAGGATAAAATGTTGTTTTACAATTCTAACCATTTAAAAAGTAAGAAAGAGAAGAATGGTTCCACAAAAGTAAAAATTATAATGATAGATAAACGGATAAAGTAGAAAAGTAAAAGTTAGTGGAAAATCATTTAAGAAAGTGTTCATATTTTTGAGACAACACAATAAAAAAAATGATCTTACAAAATGATACGGAGAGAACAATAATCAGAAATTGCCCTAAATAGAAGTAAAAACGTTTTGAAATTCCAAAATAGGACTATCATGTTTTGTATCTCTTCAATAGGAGTAATCTGCCAAGTTTGGAAGAAAATGTCATGTTTAAAGCCTAGTAATGCAAAACTTAGAGAAATTTACTCTTATTCAACGAATAAAAAACATGATAGTCCTATTTTGGAATTTCAAAACGTTTTTACTCCTATTTAGGGAATTCTCTCAATAATAATTCGTTTGTATAGTGGTCGATCTTGTGGCAGCTTTCAAATTTATGTGTTCCCTAGGGAGACACATTAAGGATTAGATCATAAAGTACTACATATAACTAAAAACAATACTTTTGGAATTTCTTACCTAAGAAACTCTTTCTCCCCATCTCTTTGCTCTTGGAATTTAGCCTATTAACAAAGAAGGAACCATCCATAAATATCATATCATTAGAACTTTAAGAATACCTGCACTTGGAATTTATCCATCAATTTTTCAGAATACCACCAATATCATCCTTATAACTAACAACAAAAATCAATGATTTGGAAAAACATCCAAATGTTTGATTTGGAAAATTTACATTTCACTAATTTTGCCATAAATTTACATATAGTAAGCGAAACATATTAGATTTTTAAACTTACAGGCATCAAAGAGTATACACTATTTGGTTAGTTATTTTTAAATGCAGGTACATGGGGGACTTCTTAAAAAACTGTTTTTATTAAACCATGTTATTTTGTGTGAAACATGTAAGAAACGAACACTTTACCCTTTAGGAACCAAAGCGTCTTATAAGTGGTGTTTTTTGGGGGGAGAATTGGGATTTTTAAAATAATTTTAATAGATTTGAGAAAATATGGGACAAACCAATTAATAAAAAAAACTATGAACAGAAGAGGGACATCCATAAACACTACAACTACAGCTATAAGACTACCTGGGCTGGGAATGTCGTGGACTCATTACAACATTTTAGGTTGACACAATCTCATGGACTTTTTATGATTTAACTGTAACTCATATAATACAAATACACACAATGACAAAGTTAATAATGACAGTATAAAAAATTTTATTTTTTCTTTTTAAAAGCAGTACACAATTACTTAGTACAATGGATACATTAAGGACTCCAATAAGCATTGGAAGAGTGGTCCATAGTGGTATCAATTGCATCAGTTTAAACCACTTCAACTATTTAAACCTTAGCAAAAGAATGCTAAGAAGATTCAAACGACATGAAGTCCATAAAGACCTTCCAAAATGCAATTGAACTTTTTATAAAGAACTTTGAATGATACCATTTCTAAACACATGCACAATAGAACACCTTGATATAAAATAAAATGATTGATAAAGTATAAAGGGCTCACCTTTTATAAGACCGCCAACTTAATTATGCTCCAGTTAAGCCATTGCAGACCTTAGGAAAGCTCAAGGTGCAACTGCAAAAACAATGCTTTGATTAGCTACTGCACAAATTGAAGACACTAAATAATACTTGTATCCACAACATCTATTCATTTTTTAATAATCAATCCAATAATAAGACTTCTTACGTAACTCCATAATCCAATAAATATGTACATCTTCTTCTCCTATGTTCCTGGACTTAAGATTTAAAATTATGGAGTGACTTAAAAATTAATTGAAAATGACTAATTTAAGAACAACGCCTTCATTCTACTTGAGCAACTTTTACTTAGTCGATCATTAAATCAGAATACGTCTTAAATATGAGAGTATAAGAGTGAAAACTATAGCAGTAATGAAAAGTATAAGAGTTATATTAAAACATACCCCAAATGGAGCTGGTTGAACTCATTCTCTTACATGTTTTTCCCAAAAAGAGACAGATCGTTTCAATAAGATGATTAAAAGTTAAAACAGATCTTTCCAATATCTCTAATGATTTTCTAGTTTCTATATCATGTATAGTAGAAAAAGATCAGCAAAATTTGATTTCTGAAAGACCAAACTAATGTTGTTAACTTGTTATACGCATACCTTTAATTAATATATGTACTAATTAATAAAAAACCACTGAAACTGGAGCATACCTTCAGGCAAGCATGAAATTGCAGTCTTATATAGAATATATATTCATCATCCAGTGGACATAAAAAGTAGCAGACCCTGCAACAAAATAGATATCAAATTTCACAAAAAAATCACTTAAATCAGAAGAACCTAAATAATACGGAGTAGAATATAAACTATAACAATTCTATACTATCACACTCCATTGATTAAGAATTTTTGGTGTAAAAGCTTGTGTTATATTGGTATCAGTTTTTTTAAATATGTGAATTTTGGCCTAAAATTAATACTGAATTTGCTAATATGGTGCTAAAAATAGATTGTGTGAAAAACTGCACTTCAATCATTTAAAGTATATATTCAAAAAAAAGTTTTTTAAGAATCAATAACCTAAGAATTACAATCACTCTACTAAGGAACATATGGTACTAACCCGCTGCTTTGGTTTGTGCATGCACGGACCAGAATGCAAAACACCAATGAATTTATTGGTTGCTCTTACTCACCCACATATAAAGCCAACTCATTTTCACTTGCTGACTTGCCTAACATGATGCACTTATTTAACTGCCCAAAAAACATCATAAGAACCTGACACATACAATACACGTTTATTTTTTATCTTAACATTAATACAGAGATGAATATTTTGAGGTTACAATATGATTAATACCACAAGCTAGATGCAGTAAGTCCTTCAAAAAGGCAATAAAGTGATCATATAATTATTTGACATATATCTTGATAAAATAAAATATCGGTAATAATGAAATCCAGGGTGTTTGAAATGTTTTTTATCACTAATTATGTTATTCTTTCAATTTTTATAAAATCTCACTGTATATCAAGACACTTGGCCCTCCAAATCCCTTAAAAATCCATCTCCCAAACTGACCAAAATGTTCCACGAGTAGTCCCTCACCAGCATATGTTCCACAAGTTCTCCTCTGCCTCTGATTCAAAACCAATTTAATCACCTCACCAGTAGTCCCCACATGAACATAATCCATCCTTGAAATGATGGAATCGTTTGGAGTCTCTAATAACAATTTGCCGATCAATAATCTTGGTTGTGAGCTTAACTGTTGTATGACAGTCACTACATATCCTAAGATTCTTAATCACGTGGACAGTTGCACCAGGGATAGAATTCAATATCCCAAAAGCAACAGCCAACTTCTCACTGTGAACCTGTAAAACCAGTCCTTTCTCCTCTTCATCAACATCATGAAGAACCGAAGTCATGTTTGGTGTGTAGCCAATGGCTTTCAACTTTATGGACAACTCATTCAAATATGCATAAATCTTCTCATGTTGATGATGTTGTCTATCTCCTACCAGAAATACATGTATGAGACCTTTTAGTTCAACAAGACTAAACCCTGGAGTTTTTGTTAACCCTTTATTTCTCATAATAATTCTCATCCTTTCCATATCCTTCCATCTTCCAGCATCAGCATATATATGTGAAAGCAAGACGTAATACCCACAGTTAGTTGAGTCTATTTGAAATAATTTATTGGCTGAAATTTCTGCAAGCTCTACATTTTTGTGCATTCGGCAAGCAGCAAGAAGGGAACCCCAAACAACAGAATCTGGTATCACCTTCATTTCATTGATTAGATTATATGCTTTTGTGAGATAACCGGCACGCCCAAGCAGATCAACCATGCAACTATAATGCTCCAGCCCAGGCAGTATATGGAATTTGTGTTCCATGGCTCTAAACCAATGCCATCCTTCATTTAGCAAACCAGCATGGCCACAAGCAGCTAAGACCGAAACAAATGTAATGTAATTTGGAGTCACCCCAGCATGGTTCATCTCATAAAAGACATTAAGAGCTTCCTTAGCTCGGCCATGCATCCCATAGCCAGCAATCATGGCAGACCACGACTTCACATTCTTTTCTTTCATACGATCGAATGCCTTCCTAGCCATCACTAGTCTGCCACATTTGCAATACATGTCAATGATTGAGGTTCCGACATATACATTATCTTCCAAGCACATTTTTATGACCTGCGAATAACAAAGCTACTGAGAAATTGAGAAAACAGAGTTTCTAATTTACTAAGGAAAGAGCATAGGGAAGCAAAAAACATGTTGAGGGCCACAAAATATCAGTTCAAACTGAATAAATTTATTTTAATATTTGATTCACTTGTATTATATAAATAATAAACAATCTAAATATCTAAATATATGTAAAAACTAAAAATATTAATCATATTTGCTTCTCCTTCGAATTTCCTGATGTGAATCCAAACATAAGAAAAGAACTTTTCTTCGCATATTCTTTCTTTTCTCTAGCGTTTTGAGAGATCCAAACATAGCATAGAATCTAATGAAAATAATAGTCTTGCAGTACATAATACTGTAATAATTTTCCATGAAACGGATGAATACCTGATCATGTATGCACTTCCCAGAATGGAGGGCTCCAGCATGTGCGCATGCCAATAGCAGGGTGGACAATGTGACAGCATTAAATTTAACTTCTTGATCTCTCGCCAGCAAATGAAACGTTTCTATTGCTTCAGAGGAAAGCCCACTTTGTGCATAACCTGCGATCATTGAGTTCCAAGAGATGACATCCTTCTCAGTCATCTCATCAAACACCTTCCTTGACAACCCCACCTCACTGCACTTGGCGTAAGCATCAATCAGTGTGTTTCCTACACCCAAATGCTCATCAAGCCCCCTTTTCATTGCAAACCCATGAACCCCCTGCGTTATAGTTTTCCCTGAAACCAGAGAACAAGCGGATAGAACTGAAACCAATGCTACTGCATCAACATACACTTCCTCCTCTCCCAGGCTCTCACTTTCCTCAACCAACAGTTCTTTGAAAAGAAAGAGAGCATCACGGGGAAGGTCACTTTGCATGTACCCTGTAATCATAGACGTCCAACAAACAACATTTCGTTTAGGAATTTCATCGAACAGTAATCTTGCGTCTTTGAGCTCACCACACTTGGAGTACATATCAATTAGCGACGAGGAAGCGAAAAGGTCAGACCCATACCCGAAGATGAAAACTTGCTGGTGGAACTGCCTGCCGGAAGAAAGATCGCGAAGGGCAGCACACGATTTTATGGCACATGGAAATGAAGAACGATTTGGTGTTACAGATAACTTTCGCATAGAAGAGAAGGCCCGAAGCGCCTCAATTGAATCTCCGCTCCTAGAAAGCTCGGCAATGACAGAGTTCCAGGAGAAGACATTGCTCTTATCTACGTATTTGTTGAAAAACGTAGCAACATTTGAAGCAGCCGTCGAATGATAATTAAGGCGCCCAAACGACCACACAGATGTCGCCGTGGACATCTTCATAATGCCGAACTTCTTTTCGGGATATTCTTCTTTCTTTTCGTAAAATTGTTTCCTATCTTAAGAGAAAAACATTGGACCAGCGCCGGCACCGGCGGCCGGAAATAGGATAGTAGTGGGCTGAGTGGAACAAAAATAAATGGAATTTAGAGAATGTGCTCAAAATTATGAAATTGTGAATCATGGGTGAATATGATTAAGAAAAAAATATATTTAAAATATACTTCCTCTGTTCCATAAAAGTTGCAACATTGGAATTTCTGCACTATTCACACACCTTACTTTGACTATGATTTTCTAATTATATATATAATAAAAATATTATGTATAAAATATTAATAAATTTGTATTAGTGTAAATTTTCAATATATTAACTTTTTTTAATGTTTACTAATACGTAAATAAATATAATTAGAGTCAAAGTTGCGCGTTGACAAACGTGAAAGTCAAACTGTTGCAACTTTTATGGAACGGAGGATAGTATTTGATATAATTAAGAAAAAAATATTTTTAAACTATATTGACAATGCAATCAATGATGAAATCCATCTTTTTCAGCCTGGTAATATACATTCTACCACTGATGATTCTGTCACTAATAATTCTTCAAATATTATGCAGACAGGTATTGATCACATTGATCACATTGATCACAATACTGATAATAATTCTCCAAGGAAATCTACCAGAGTAAGATCTGTTTCTATTCATTTAAAGGACTTTGAATATAATTTACCTGCTTCTATTATTCCTAATGTTTCTGATTCCTCTTGTAACTTTGTTAGGTACCCTATACAAAACTATATTTCTTACAAAAATTTAAACTCTTCTCATCACTGTTTTACTGCATCCCTTTCAAATATTATTGAACCCAAAACTTATAAACAAGCTATTAAATCTTCTGAATGGAAAAATGCGATGAACACTGAAATTAAAGCTCTTGAAGATAATAACACCTGGATTCTGGTTGATCTTCCTAAAGATCAACATATTATTGGTTGTAAATGGGTTTTTAAAACCAAACTTAAATCTGATGGTTCTCTGGATAGGTATAAAGCCAGATTAGTGGCTTAAGGGCTATACTCAGGAAGAGGGCCTTGACTATTTTGATACTTTTTCTCCGGTTGTTAAATTAACTACTGTCAGAATTCTTTTAGTTCTTGCTAGTTCCAAACATTGGTATTTACATCAATTAGATGTAAATAATGCCTTTTTACATGGAGATTTAAATGAAACTATTCATATGCAACCTCCTCCTGGTTATTTAGCTGATAATGATAATAGAGTTTGTAAACTTCTTAAAAGTTTATATGGTTTAAAACAGGCATCCATACAATGGTTTTTTAAACTCTCTGAATCTTTAAAGTCCTTTGGTTATAAACAATCTGAGGCTGATTTTTCCCTTTTTACTAAAACACATAATAATTCTTTTACTGTGATACTGCTATATGTTGATGATCTTATTCTTGCAGGTAATGATATGATTGAAATTACTTCAGTCAAATCCTATTTACATCATAAATTTACCATTAAAGATCTTGGTGAACTAAAATACATACTAGGTATAGAAGTAGCTAGATCTAAAACTGGACTAGTTTTAAATCAAAGAAAATACACCCTTGATATTCTTTCTGATTTTGGTTATCTTACTTCTAAACCTTCTTCTACCCCTATGGATTCCAAAATAAAACTTTCAAAAAATGATGGTTCTCTTTTAACTGACCCTAAAAGCTATAGAACTCTAATAGGCAGATTACTTTATCTTACTGTCACAAGGCCTGACATTGCTTATTATGTGCAAACTCTTAGCCAGTTTCTTTCTTGTCCTACTAATATTCATATGATTGCTGCACATAGGGTGTTAAGGTATCTTAAAAGTTCTCCAGGAAAAGGTTTGTTCTATCCCTCTAAATCTACTTTTCAAATTCAAGCATACACTGATTCTGATTGGGCATCTTGCATTGATACTAGAAGAAGTATATATGGTTATTGTTTTTATTTAGGTGAATCTTTGATTTCTTGGAAATCAAAGAAACAAACTGTTGTGAGTAGATCTTCTACTGAAGCAGAGTATAGGGCTGCTGCAAATGCAGTTTGTGAAGCTCAATGGCTTACTTACATTTTTCAAGATTTAAAAATTCCTATTTCTTTGCCTATTACTCTTTATACAAATAATAAATCTACTTACTATCTTGCACATAATCATGTTCAACATCAAAGAACTAAACACATTGAATTAGATTGCCATTTAATAAGAGAAAAAATTAATTCAGGTCTTATTAATTTTTTACACATTCCTAACAACTTTCAACTTGCAGATATATACACCAAACCTTTTGGAAATCCTCTCTTCAATCAGTTTGCAAACAAGATGACCTGCTGGATATCCATGCTCATCTTGAGGGGCGTCTAAAGAATAAAAGATTGGACTGTTTTCATTTTTATATTGGGCCTGTTATTTAGCCCATCTTATATTACATTAGAATAGCCTTTTAACCCTTTAGTATATAAACTGTATTTTCAGACCTAATCCTTATCGATTCACATTTTCGATCGTCTTCTTCCTGAGCTTACTGCTTCCGCATTCCCTCTGTAATTTTTCTGTAAATTCACAGAGGTCGAGTAGCTTGTACGTCTAATATACATATATGGTACATATCTTGGCTTACCTTTTGTTTAAATAAAAAGTCAGACTTCATTAATTTACATGATTTGTATTATACGGAGTATATATATAATGATATATATCGATTTGATTAGTTTGACGAATTATTACGAAAGATGGGTTTGACTATGGTATAAGCCGCATACGTACATGGAAGTTTTCCTTGTTTCTCGCTATGGTAAAAGATGGGTTTGACTATGGTAACTGCTGCTACTATCATTATTCATTTTTACACCTATAATTCATCATACTCAATTACCCAGTACGCCATATAATTCACTCTTAATGACTTCATTAGTCTATTCTTTCCTTCCACAACTTAATTTCTTCATATTTTAATGCTATAAAACATGCTCCTCAATTGAAAAAAAACAGTATAGACCCCCATTACATAGATCCAATTCCATAAATTACTGCCGTCCCCATTTCTCATTCTTCATTGCCATCCTTCATTCACAATTTTTTTTTCAATTTACTGCCTTATATTCTAACATTCAATCCTTCATTCTTTACTACCCTACATTTCAACATTATTTGGTATTCAATAACTCATTTCATAAATCATTTAGTGCACTATTTATTTATCCACAAATTAATGCCCTCACTCACTAATTTGCATTTTATTGTCCAAACTCGGAATATTCACTAAAAAATTACTGTATGTCTAAATGTCACAAACAATTATATATGCATGTCTAAGTATGTCGTGGGAACAAAAAAGAAAAAAGATGGTGTCCTTCGATTTTACTGCCTTAACTCCGCCTTCTTCTTTTCGGCATTTGTATTCGTGGATATACGATCACAGAAGAAAGTTGTATCCTTATTATGTTTCTCTACTGAAATAAATTCTCACTTGAGCGCAATCGCATTTACTTTCTCTTTCAAATCACAATTCCTTTTTATTAAAACTCTTCCAGTCGGACACATTAGGGCATTGAAGTCATTTTGTCTAATTTTAAAATGCACGTGACTCATCCATGATGTTTCGTACTCATATTCCCATCAATTAAACTTTTTGGTCATATTATGGGAAAGTCTTCATCTTTTAGTAATATTGCAATATTTTTCCCTATATCAAACAATTATCAGGCTGATTATCCTTAAACAGACCAGAAAATCTAAATCCGTCTGAAAACGTCCTAATACACATACACTAATTTATTTAAGAAAGAAATGATCGATTACAAAGTCTGATTCTCGCTGCTTCTTATTTGTGCACTTCATACTTCATCAGTAAGTGCATATCTATCACATACTGATATTTTTACTTATTTATGTACATTAATAATGATTCAGGGAGCAATGCATGCTCAATGCCTTCAAAATCAAAAGGCTATATGTCTTACACATATAGACCTAAGGGGCAACTAGCTTGGGCTGCTGTTGATCAATTTTGAAATGATAAATTTGAATGTTCTCAACTCCAAGCCTTTTGAAATTACTGGTCTTTCGAGTGGTGTAAAACTTTCCCCAGTTATAAGCTTTGTACTTTGCAGGGTCATTGCCTTCTAACCCATTGACTAGTTCATCAAGAGGCTCCACTGATGTATAGTGTGCAGGGTTGAGGAAGAACGGGATCGAAAACCGCTCTCTCCCGGAGTTTACCTTGACTCTGTGATCCACACTCTCATATTTGTCATTGCTCCAAACCTGATTATCACAATGCACACTTATACTTTATTCATTGCATTTACATTATATTAATTAGAAACTATTTTTGCTTGGAGTGTTTTGACTCTCAAGATTGTTTTAATTTCAAGTTATTGTTTAGTGTTTGATTAAGCTCAGGGCAATCCTAAATCTAAAACAAGAAGTTACAAATGATATTTTTTTATTTGAATCAATAGTTATCAGGCAGGAGCTCATATAGACACACTTTAGTAGGTTGACACTATGCAATATGAAAATTAAGTCACGCTCCATGTATGTTAGTACCCACATGATTTTATTGCTATGCTTTTTGGGACATGCTACTCTTCCATTTAAACTTTTCCATATAAGTTGACGATGTTAAACGTTGGCAGTTCGACTATTGATTTTGATTAATATATTTTTTGCGAAAATATAAAATTTATACTTTTATGATCGTATTTTTAAACATAGAATATTTTCATATCATTTTTGTATTATAAGTGTAACACCGTGAAACTGCAGGGCCCGGAGTCGTACTCTTGAATGCCCTCCAACCCTAGTACTGTTCTCACAAACTAACATGAACTTTTACCACGCTCGTTGTCCTCACTCGTGCGTGTCCTGAAAAAACTTCTGATGAGGTAACTCATCCCAAGACTACTCTCGTGCAAGCACGTTTAACTTTGATTTCTTAGCATATGAACTTCCTTAAAAAGAGAGGCACGTTATCGGTATGAATAGCACTATTAAACCTTTTAATTAATTTCCATGAGTGTTACAATAAGCAATTTCCTATATAAATACATTATTAGTTAACTTTTAACAGCATTGATAAAAGATCAAAGATTTTTAGACAGTAAATTTTGCATTAGGTACTGTGAGATACACTTAGATGTATCCACACAGGATCCTCGGAAGTACTCATCCAAAACGTGTTTTATGGTAATGTTTGCTAGACCAAATCAAATACTTTTTCTATTTATTATGCGCAAAGAGTATTAAGTAAATTTTAAAATTGTTTAAAATCAGAAAAATGCTATAAGCACTAACACACTAACAAAAAAACTTACACACGACTTATGTGATTACTGCAATTACCTTTGATGTAAAAAAAAGTGATGTCTTAAACAATAAGATGTCACCAGTGGCATATCCAAGGTGGGGGCAGGGGGCAGCTGCCCCCACTCAACCCTCACCCAACCCCAATATATATATATATATATATATATATATATATATATTTAAAAATTCAATTATACACATATTTGTGTGATGAAAATACATACTCCCTCCGTCCTTATAACTTTGCCAACTTTCCTTTTTTGGATGTCCCACTAACTTTATCACTTTCCCTTTTAAGTAAAGAATTTGTGGTTCCATTTCATTCTCTCTCCTCTGCACAAACCTCAATCACACAATTTTTACTTTATTATTTCCCGTGCCGGTCAAACATGGCAAACTTATTAGGGACGGAGGGAGTAATATATACCATAATAACGCAAATTGTCACTAAACAACAGTCTAGTCCAGTGGAAGCGGAGCTTATTGAGAGAATTCCCAAAAGACGTGACTTTTCTGTCTAAGAAGCAAAAACACGGGACTTCAATACATTGTATGAAAACACGGGAATCGGAATGTCACATTCAGAATGAAAAAGAAAACTAGGGTTGGGCACCGTGGGTAAGGAAAATCAGTGGGATTAGGTAAATAAAAAATCCCATTTTTTATTAATTAATTTAACTTATTTATTTGTATTCCAATTTATACAAAAAATATAAAATTCATAACTTTTTATTATCTTTCATATGATACCAATATTGTATATATAAAGTTTTTTTTTAAATGGAAGATTCGATCGAATGAGGTTTTCAAATTCAATTTTTTTAATAGATCCAAATGCTAAAATTAAAACTTCTTTTTAATAATAATTGAAAAATGGGGAAATTGTCCAAAATAGGAGCAAATGATACTTGGAATTCCAAAATAGAACTAGCATATTTTTCTTCCCGAAACAGGAGTTATTACTGTCAAGTATGAAAAATACTGTCATGATTGAAAAATAATGTCATTAATAATAATACATACTGTCATTTAAATGCACTACTGTACTGTAACTATTTGACAGTCACGGCTACAAGATACTTCCATGTTAGTCTCATTTCGGGAATAAAAACATAATAGCCCTATTTTGGAATTTCAAACTTCATTTACTTCTATATTGGGAAATCTCCCTTCAAACATGGAAAAAAGTTATTTTAACAATGAGATCTTAATTTTAGCACTTGATTTTATTTAAGAAATTTGTTGGGTTCCAAGACTTTCTATTGTTGAAACTTCAAAAAATAAATTAAACATTATATAAGGAATATTGGTGTCCTTAAAAAGATAATAAAATGTTATGAATTTTGATCTATTTCTTGTAAAAATTGGAGTATAAATAAAAAAGTTACGTCACTTAAAAGAAAAAATGATATTTTACATTAACCTTGCCCCCTCCCCCTCCCACCCAATCTACCTTTCCCATCCTTCCATTCGGAAATGCCATTTCCGAATCCCCTATCTTAGAAAATATAAAGAAAATCCCGTTATTTTGCTCTCTATGTTATGTTTTCTCGTATTTTTAGAAAAGACCCGAGCTTATTGCATTTTAAGGCCTTCCTAGGTCAAGGGTTCGAATTCTTCCTCTTCTTTTTGTTCCAAACTTTAATTTTCCATATATCATGTTCCTTGTTTTCTTTTTAAAGTTTTAATCAAATTTAAAGTGACTTAATATATGCATACATATTTAGATTTAATCTATACTTCATTACATTTTTAGAGTTAAAATATACTTCATTACATTTTACACTTTAAATTCATTTTTAGATATAATTCTGCATTTACGATTTACATTAATTCTAAATACATACACTATATGTCCCTGATTCAAATTATTTATTTATTAACATAACATCAAAAAAATTAGATTTTTTTTTTTCAAATTTATTAAGCTTGATTTCATATTTTTTAGTTGACTGATTAGTTTTTAGTTTTAATGAATTTTGTACTATTTTTCTTAAAGTGTCTAGCTGCTTGTGACCTGCTTGAAATAATATATACTTCCTCCGTCTTATAAATTTATTCTCGGTTTGACTTGAATCGAATTTTAAGAAAGTGAGAATAAAATTAAAATGTATGATTGTGGTCGAGTAAGTAAACGAATGTTAGTCACACAAAATTTTTCAGAAGGGGAAATAAAAAAAATATTTTATGTGACATCCTAAAAAGATTAAGTGAGAAAAATTTTATGGGACGATGTGAATAGTATGAACTCGCCCCCACTCACAACAATTCCTAGATACGCCACTAGATGTCACCACATACACTCTTTTGAAAGAGTGTACGAACCTCTAACATAACTCTTAAAATAATGCCTCATCAACCACGAATCCTTCAACGTTTTGAAACCAAAATGCTTTTCAAACCAAAAAGGTGGTGCATCATGAATACACTCTTTTGAAAGAGTGTACGAACCTCTAACATAACTCTTAAAATAATGCCTCATCAACCACGAATCCTTCAACGTTTTGAAACCAAAATGCTTTTCAAACCAAAAAGGTGGTGCATCATGAAAACACACAATTTTCAATTCAAACCTTTTCAAATGGCTCTTAACACTAAGCCATTCCTCTTTGGCGTGTATGCGCATGTACACAGCATATTTTACACGCTACACAAAATTTCGTACACTTTAAAAAATTGAGCGATTGTTTTGACGAATTTACTGTGTAAACAGACAATCAGGGGCATATGGCGTGCACAAACGGATTTGTCCTTTAACAATCCGGTTAAAGAAACAAAAAATGATACCTGAATAATGTCGCCAACATTAATGATATAAGCATCTGGGGTAGGCTTGACAAAAACCCATTCTCCATCAACTTTCCTTCTCACTTGGAGCCCACCAACATCATCTTGAGCCAGTATGGTCAATGCCCCTGCATCCTTATGACGCCCTACTCCAAGAGCTAGCTGAGGGGCGGGGCAAGGTGGGTAGTGGTTCAACCTCACAAAACTTGTTTGGTCCTTGAAGAATCCCTCCAATCGCTTCTCTGGCAACCCTAAGCTCAGCGATATGAGTCCCAATACCTTGTAAGCAAGCTTTTGTACTTCTCTTGCATATTCTTCACACACTTCCCTAACAGATTAAAAGAGGTTTACAATAATTTTCATTGTGTCAATTCAATGATGTAATAATGAACGTGTGAACAAGGGCCGGTCCTATCATTTTCGTGCCTAGGATCGTGAGATAATATTTTGAGCTTATATTCAAGACAAATAATAAACTATACTTATTTAAAATAATAATTATAATAAAGGTCATAAAATAAAAATGAAACTCGTTTTATTATTATTAATTAAATTACATTTTTGGTGAAAAGTAACAACACAAGTATCAATTAAAAAGAAAAACATCTACTTAAAAATCTTTATCGCAGAACATTGTGAAACAAAATAATCAATAACTACTTCATAATCAACTTTTTTCAATAATCTCATGCTCAATGCTTAAAAGTGCTAACCCATTAAGTCTTTTTTGAGACATAGTTGATCGCAGATAATTCATCAGAACCTTCAACTTTGAAAAACATTACTTAAAAACGTTTCTCGCGGAATTTTAAGGATTTTATTTCTTAACAAAAACAAATTTTTGCATCGACCCTTCTGGCTTAAGCCTGCCTTTTCAAACCTTCTCATCTTTCTCTTTTTATCCCAACCTGATTCACCCATTTTATCAAGAATAGTTTATTGATCACAGTTGGATTGTTTGAAGCCTTAAAGAAGTTTTTTTGTCACCGACCGCCGTTTGGGCTCCTCGATTGATTGGCTTCTTAACAAACCGCTGAGGCACTCACCATTTTGCAACGTTTTTACTCTTGTTGATTTTCGATTTTAGAAATAACAAATCAATTTGATGGGCTTTACGAATTGGGAGTTTTGGAATTGGGAGGCTTAACATAACTTGGCAATATTGTAATTAAAAGGATTTTAAAAGCCTAGAGATGTGAAGAGAATTAAGAGAGGTATGTCTTTTTGTATTTATTTTAAAAAGTAAACATTAGGTCTAATTAATTGAGCTTAAAAATTAAAACAAAAGCCTACACATACCTCATATAAATAAATATTTTTGGGCTTATTTTTTTTCTATTTTCTTGGGCTTTGGACGGGAGCCCCTGTTGCACCCCTAGGGTCGGCCCTGCGTGTGAAACGCTAATGAAGTGTGAAACAACATCTTACATGCAAAAAGGTATTATAAACAAAAAACGTAAAAAGTATAAGATATCAATTTTTGACGTATTAAGTTTTTAACACAAAATTTACAAAAGCAAGAACTAGGTGGGGTATAAAGGTTTCCTTTGGATACATTTTTGAGAAATTACCCAAAATAGGACTAAAAATGTTTGTATATTCCAAAATAGGACTATCATATTTTTATTTCCAATATAGGACTAATTACTGACATGTTTTAGCAGTACCAGACTTTAAACATGACAGTATTTTCCAAACTTGGCAATAATTACTCCTATTTTGGGAATAAAAGCATGACAGTCCTATTTTGGAATTTTTAAACTTTTTTACTCCTATTTCGGGAGTTTTCCCTACATTTTTCACAAAATTAAAATTTACGCACATGGAATCAAAGTTCTTTTCCAAATGTGGGTGAGCCGAGGCCTAACATGACCCCCTGTCTATGCCCTAAACAATGGCGTATCCACTATGGGGGCAATGGGAGCATCTGCCTCACTTAAGTGCTTAACCCTAACCGAACCCTTTTACATATCTAAAATTTTATAGGAAATTATTCAAAATAAGAGTTAAACATAAGAAAAATTCTAAAATAGGATTACGAGTGTTTTTTTATAAATATATGAGTTATGTGACCCTATAAAAAGAATAAAAGGATAAAAAATCATTAAATGTTGTTATGTTTAAATTCTATTTAAGTATTTTCTCAAATTTTACCTATAATTGCATATTTACCCACACCTAATATAAATTGATCTTCTTTTTATACATACTTGTACATATATCTTAAACTAAATCTAATCAGACAAAATTAAAATGTGATTTGTTATTTGTGAAAAATGTGACTAAGTTGTAGTGTAGTTTTGTTAGGTGCTTGTTCATTTTCTCTTATGTCTATTTCCATTCGTGTTATTTTTATTTATTTCGACCATGTTCTTCTTAAGAAGGTTCATTTGCATCAAGGGCAATCCATTTTCTTTCAATAAAATCATTTAGAGCCCGTTTGGTGATCCCTTTTTCGGCTTATCAGGTTTATAAGACAACTTTTTCATCAAACACATAATTTTTAATTTCGCTCGCTGAAGTTTGTAACAAGCAGAAAAAGTAAGGTTGGAATTAATTTTCTGGCTGTTTTGACTGTTTTCATATAATTTTTTGTTTAATTTATTGATAAAAAATATTTTAAATATAATTTTTTCATGAATCAGCAGAATCAGCCAATATAGTCACTTCAGTCAGAACCCCATATATTTCAGCAGAATCAACCAATTCAGCCAAATTTAGTGTTACCAATGTATCATATACTGCATGTACAAATTGATAATAAGTCGTCCAATAAAATCAATTGGATTAAACTACTGATGCAATAGTTTGTAATTTAAAGGGCAATGATACAATATTACAATGATTATACTCCCTCCGTTTTCAAAAGAAAGTCACGGTTTGACCTCACGATTATTAAGGAAATAAATTGACTTTATTATAGAAAACACTGTTTAGACACTGTTTGGACACTGTTTTGCACTCTTTGACACTGTTTGGATGTAGATTTCTTTGCCAAATAAGGAAATAAGGGAAGTGTAACTTTGTTTTTGAAACATCTCAAAAAGGAAAGTGTGAGTTTCTTTTAGAAGTTTGGAGGGAGTATATTTTAGTGTACTTTATTAAAGACAGAGTATTAGTATATGTTTTATGCTAAGTCGATCAACATTCTTGAACTAAGAGATCTCATATTTGAACATGTGACATCCTTCTTGAGCATTACAGTAATGTCATCGGATCACAAAATACTTAATTATATAACGACTATAGTCTCTCTGACCTCAAAGAAATTTGTCAAGTTGACTTTTCTTGACCAATACTACCTCCGTCCCAAATTGATTTGCAAATTTGACTTTTCTAAGTCAAACAGTTTCATTTTATTTGCTTAATTAGGATGTCAAATTTTAATTATATTCTAATTCCGAGTTTACAACTTTGAAGAGAATTTAATGTAGTTTCTAAATATATAAAATTTAATTATTAAAAATTGAATTAATTATCGATAAGGAGCATAGACTTTTTTTATCAGTTGACCAAAAAATATTGTCTTTAAAAAACAATTTGAGACCGAAGGAGTCATATTTTTTAAATAACACACAATTATTTTAAATATGAAAATTATATTAATAAAGTTCCTTTCGGATATTAGAGTATCTTGCTAGTGGAGGAGTACCTCATGTTTGGGGGATAATCTGGCCACTGGTTAGTCAACTCCTTGACCACCTCATCATTGGGCTCAGGGGAGACCGGAATCAAAGTCGGAATCTGGACAGTAAAATCAAACACTTCTTTCCAGTCCCTCACATTCTTGGTGTGCTCTGTGTCATAATACCCGTACGGGTTCACTTCATCCCGCCTCACCTTACCTTTCTCCTCCTTGGTCAACGCGAAGAACTGCCTTGAAGCCAGCTCCATCTTCTCCCGGATCTCTGACGGGACGCCGTGGTTGATCACCTGGAAGAACCCCCAGTTCTTGCATGCCTCTCCGATGTCGGAAACCAGATCACCAAGAAGCTGATGAGCTCCGCCGCCGGCCGCCGGGGAGGAGCCCGTCAGTACGGAGAGGTCGATGATGGGGACGCCTTGGGCTTCAGAGGTGGTGGGCTTTGGCCTGTGCTCAACCTCTTGGATGAAAGCTGGATCTACTGCCACCTCTCCCATGGTGATAATAAAAAAAATGGTAAATCAAAGAAGGATGAAGATGATGGGTGCTTTTATACGTTGGTTAAGTTGTGGCGGCTAATATTGACATGTCAGCTTGGAAACATACATTGAACCTGGACGCGGAACATGGGTGAGATGATATGATCTTTCTCCAATCGATCTCCATGTACTCCCCTTTTAAAACTTCACTATTTCACCGTCACTCAGAATAACAAAATACTACTTCGTCTCAAATTCAAGTGTAAAATTGATTTATTGAGCAGGCTTATTTATTTATAATATCAATTCTTAATATAATTTTGAGTTGAACTTTATAATTTCATAGAAATTTTAATGAATTTGTTGAGATTTATCTCTAGAAATTTGATGAAATTGAAATCAAAAGATGGTGAAGGTTGCAGAAGAAGATAGCGGAAGTAGAAGATCGATTGAATGAAAAAGTTAACCTAATTAAAATTAGCTTTGGTATTTATACTTATTACATAAAGGCTATTAAAGAAAATATACAAAGCCCAGTACAATAATGAATAGACCCATAACAGCGATTCCAGCTTAATATTTTAGTCTCAGCTTATAATTCTTGATACGCCCCTTCAAGAGGAGCATGAATGTCTTGCATGTTCATCTTGACTGCAAATTGACTAAACAGAGGATTTCCAAGCGATTTGGTATAAATATCTGCAAGTTGAAATTCATTTTTAATATGATGCAAAGTAATCAATCCAGGATTAATTTTTTCTCTAACTAAATGGCAGTCCAGTTCTATATGCTTTGTTCTTTGATGTTGTATGGGATTATGAGCAAGATGGTAAGTAGATTTGTTGTCAGTATATATAATTATGGGTAAGGAAACATGTATACGTAAATCATTAAAGATATATGATAACCATTGAGCCTCACACACAACATTAGCAACTGCTCTATATTCTGCTTCAGTTGAGGATCTACTAACAACTTGTTGTTTTTTAGATTTCCAAGAAATTAAAGAATTACCGAGGTAAAAGGCATAACCTGAAACACTTCTCCTAGTATCTATGCAGGCAGCCCAATCTGAATCAGTGTATCCTTGTATAGGAAAATCAGAATTACAATATGGGTAAAATAAACCTTTACCTGGAGAATTCTTAAGGTATCTCAGAACCATATGAGCTGCACTTAAATGAACATCAGTAGGAGAGGCAAGAAATTGACTAAGAACTTGTATACTATAAGCAATATCAGGTCTAGTTACAGTTAAATAGAGCAACTTACCAATAAGTGTTCTATATGTTTTAGGATTTTCTAAAACAGTTCCATCAGTTTTAGACAGTTTAAGTTTGGAATCCATAGGAGTATTAAAAGGTTTAGAATTAAGATTGATGGAGTATATGGCCCACGAATCCCCGGCCCATAGACACCTACTGTTCTAATGGAGGTCCAATAGGCCCAAGAAGCACAGCAGGCCCAAATCACGGCGCCCCAAGTACTAAGCAACCCACGTGGCACACTAGGGGTGCCTTCGGCTCCCTGGCCGAAGGCTCCAATTCTCACAGGATGGCCAAACCAAGAAAACAAAGTTACTGGGAGAAAACAGCGAAAATCAGTAGCCCTCGGCACCTAGAGCCCTCGGCACTAAGGAGATCCCCGGTACTCAAAGCCCTCGGCTACTCACCTGCAGCCGAGGGCACCTTTCCCGACATGATATCCGCTCCACATGCGCCTGGATCACCGTACCAAGTACGACGTCACATCCAACAGCTGCATTAAATGCGGCCACATGCGATTGCCAGCGCCAACAAGTTGAGGTGACCCCTCAGCCAATGGATGCTTGACACGTGTCCCTATCTGGCATTTATTACTACTATAAATATCACCTCATCTCCCCATTTGTAACCCAGAAGCAAAACACGCTCACTACTTTCTCAGCAATATAGTCTCTCTCTTACTTTTGCTTTGACTTCTCTCTAGTTATCCTCCGCAATAACCCTTCAGATAAGCTACCCCCCGGGTACACTATTCATCAAAGATAACCATAGTCAGTCAAAATATCTAAAGTGTACTTTCTCTGACATAAATTTATACCTTTATCAGACCTAGCAATTTCAATTCCCAAAATATATTGTAATGTACCAATATCTTTAATAGTAAATTTGTTATCTAAATAAGTTTTTCTGCAGAGATTTCATCCATACTATTTCCAGCAAGGATGATATCATCTACATAAACCAAAAGCACAGTAAGAGCAGTCCCAACAATTTTAGTAAATAAAGAGCAATCAGCCTGAGACTGTTTGTAACCAAAAAGCTTTAAGGAGTTAGAAAGCTTACAAAACCATTGCCTAGATGCCTGTTTAAGACCATAGAGACTTTTAATAAGCTTGCAAATTCTGTTATCAGTGGGGGGTAGATAACCTGGAGGAGGCTGCATAAAGATTTCTTCATTTAAGTCACCATGTAAAAAAGCATTGTTTATATCAAGTTGGTGTAAGAACCAGTTGTTAGCACTAGCAATAGCCAAAATAATTCTGACAGTGGTTATTTTTACAACATGAGAGAAAGTGTCAAAATAATCAAAACCTTCTTCTTGAGTATAGCCTTTAGCCACTAATCTGGCCTTATATCTATCTAAAGAACCATCATGTTTTAGTTTTGTTTTAAAAACCCATTTACATCCTATAATATTCTGATTTTGAGGAGGTGGAACTAAAATCCAGGTTTTGTTATTTTCTAAAGCTTGAATTTCATGAGACATGGCATTCTGCCATTCAGGAAGTTTAGCTGCTTGTTTATATGTTTTAAGTTCAACAATTTTGGAAAGTGCAGCACTAAAACAAGAATGAGCAGTTCCTAATCTAGTATATGTAATATGATTTTGAATAGGATATCGAATAAAAGTACAAGAAGCGCAAGAGGAAGAAGAAGAAGAAGAAATACTTGTAGTAATAGAATCGGGTAATTCATAACTGTAATCTTGAAGATGTATAGTATAAGATCCTTGGCAGAGGTAAAGTATAAGAAAGTATAGCGAATTACAGGAGCAATGGAGTAAATAAACCAAGATAGTAGTAAAGCATTGATACGATACTAGATTGTATAAGCAACAGGTTCTGCTGGACTTGGTTGAGTGATAGAGCCGTCGATGAATGCCAACTTGTTCTTCACGCTGAAGGCCATAGTGACGGACTTCTTCTAAGCAGTGAAGTTATCTCCCGTAAGCGTTTCAGAGATGATCCGGAGGCCTGCATGATCGCTAGGATGCAAATAATAATGAGACGAAACATCTTCAGTAGGTTTTAAGGGGAAAGTCGATTAATTCATCGCAAAGAAAAGTTTATGGGCTAAAGGGTCAAATAGGTACATGAACTAACTTAAAGTGTTCAATTAGCCCCTTATTTAGGAGGTTCTGTCCGGCCTTATTCAATTGGGGCGGTTCTCGATGGAATTTTTGATGAATTTTTTGAGCATCTTCTTAATTAAGTCTAGTTTACCCATATCAAATTTCAGCTAAATATTAAATTGGGAAGGCAGTCAAATGATTTTCCGAAATGTACTGCGTTGTTTAACTGCGCAGTCATCTTCAAAAAATTATTTGACTGCCTTCCCGGTTGAATTTTTAGCTGAAATTTGGTATGAGTAAACTAGACTTAATGAAGAAGATGCTAAAAAAAATTATAAAAAAATTCTACCGGAAACTGCCTCAATTGGCGACAGCCGAGCAGAACCTCCTATATAAGGGGCTAATTGAACACTTTAAGTTAGTTCATGTACGTATTTGACCCTTTAGCCAAGTTTATGCGATCAGGGTTACAAGATGAATCAATTTCAGAGAAGCAACAATTTATAGAAATCAAAAGAAGACGAAGATTATCAGAAGGACGATGAAGGATCGAAGCCTAATCTGATACCATGTTGAGATTTATCTCCAGAAATTTGATTAAATTGAAATCAAAAGATGATGAAGGTTGCAGAAGAAGATAGCGGAAGTAGAAGATCGATTGAATGAAAAAGTTAACCTAATTACAATTAGCTTTGGTATTTATACTTATTACATAAAGGCTATTAAAGAAAATATATAAAGCCCAATACAATAATGAATAAGCCCATAACAGCAATTCCAGCTTAATATTTTAGGCCCAAAGCAGCAATCCCGGCTTATTATTCTTGATAGAATTTCATGAATATGCAAATTTTAATTATTAAAATTGATTATCAATAGAGAGAATTTAATTTTAAGATTGGTTGACAAAAAAATATTTTGACTATGCAAAACAATTCGGGACGGAGGTAGTACAAACTACTACGCAAAAGTATGTAATTGAGACTTGAAATTTGTGCAGAGAGAAAGAAAATGCTAAAGCGTTTGGGACAACAAAAAAGAGATACTCCGTATTTCAAAGTTTTAGGGGACAAAGCTAGGACGTATCATTTAATTGTTGGAATATAAAAATATGATTAGTTTTCATTTTTTCTAAAAAATGTGATTATTCTTGCTTTATATTTTAATTTATAAATTTAACTTAGGAGTTTCTAAATTTGCCTTTTTTATTATTCATTTTTGAAATATTTTGTTTTTGAATTTGAGATTTTTACTCTTTTCTAAATTTACTACTATGTGTTATTTTTTTGGGATATTTTTTTATTTATTTTCTAATTGTTTTCATAACTTTTAATAGCTTTTTATTTTTAACATTTTTTTTCAATTCACAAAATATTTAGTACTACGTAGTTTCATCACTTCCATGTGATTTGTATAAGGAACTTTTTACTTGGACTTAAATTTGCTAGTCTGGTCTGAGTTAATATGTTTAAGTCTGGTCTGGTTTGATCTGTTTAAGTGTGATCTGGTCTAGTCTGGTTTATTTAAGTCTAACATGGTCTGGTAATGTTTGACCTCTGTGTATTTTGTAACTATAGAAGTCTTGTCTGATTAAGTTTGGTTTGATCTTTTTAAGACTTATCTGATCTAGCCTTGGAATGAAAAAGTTCAAGTAAAAACATCCAAATTGTATTCTGTATTAGCTTTACAAAGAAGGTGCCATGATTGAGAACATACTTACAC